TACAAACCTTCTTTCATCAGACTATATTATTACAGCCACAGAAAAGGAGACTGGCTATTGCCCAGGGACTGAAGAAGAGATCCAACGTCGCCAAGACAGCAACCTCCATCTGCCACCTAGTGGACTCCAGGCACTTCAGTAAGGTCGGAACTGACTTGTGCCTGTCTTTTCTGAGTTTGTCTCTCCAGCTCTAGCTTACCAAGTGGGAGTTCTTGCACATCTTTTGTTTAAAACTTTAGAAATTATTAAAATCCCCATGTTTTCAACCACTATACAAATTTACTTCTATATTACATAGACCCAAACTGATAGTTGTCACCAAGCCAGGTTCAAAGCAGTATAATGCAAAAGCAGTGTTTTGTTCTGTTTGAGTTCCCCCACGTCCATGAACTCCCAACTCAACAGCATTAGCAGACAGGGCCTTACAAAAAGTATTGAAGTCACAAGAACTTGTCTTCACGAATGGAGAGACGAACCCCCTTATCACAGGGCTTGCTTGACACAAACAACTTGGTTCCTTTTGCTCTCTGTCATTTGCTACATGCAGAAACGGCATTCCTCCCCCCTGGAGAATGCGGCCAGGCATCATCTTGGCAGCAAAGCAGTCCTCAACAGACACAGCTAGGGATGGTGGTATTTTGATGACCTTTCGCTCTCCAGATCTAGAAAAGGACTTGATGAACTGCCCAGCCTTGGACACCCTCTCACAGCAGGACAGAGCAACTAAGACAGCCAGATATAAAAAAATGGACTTTCCTTTAGTTCTACATTTGGAAAATGGGTTGCCTATCTAGTAAAATGCAAAATATCAAAAACCTTTAAATCCCCCCAAGTGCTCAGAGCTCAAGTAAGCAGAATAGCTATGTCTAGCTATAACAGTTAGAAAACTTTTCTGATCCTATTAAAAGATCAGTAGGAATATTAAAAGGAAATAAGGCTGAAGTAGGTCTGATTGACCTCATTTTAAGATGGCTTTGCATGGGTGAAGGTGATAAATAGGATGTACAGATGAAGGGGGAAAAAAAATCCCATGATACTTAGGATAATGGTGGCTCCGTATCATGTGATTGTCCAAACTCAGAATTTAAAACCCCAAGCGTCAACCCTGTGCTTGGCAGCATTTACTCCACCAAGTAGGCTTTGTAATGTATTGTGAAGGGTGCAATAGAAAAAAAATAAATCCAGTGTGAGAAAACCCAGGTATTCAAAACACAGAAAAAGTAACTGTCATGAGGAAGATGGGCACTCTCATTGTGTCTGACTGCAGGAGTGAACGCCGTATGTGTGCAGTGCCGTCGGAGACCAAGAGGGCACTGGGATCCTTGACACTGGATTACAGATGGTCGTGAGCTGCCCAACCTGGGTGCTTAGAACCAAACTTAGGGCCTCTGTCATCTCTTCAATTTTTGAGAATTTTATTTTATAACTGCATGTAATAAGATATTAGCCTAATCCATTAAGTACAAAATAGCAAAATAGTAAGTACAAGAAAACCCCCTAACTTACAAATGTTGCCATGAAATAACTTGACTACAGAAACATACCCCAAAGCAAATTCAAGGCAACGGCTCCTGGATTTGGTCAGAAATCCCTGGAAAGCTGAATGATGAATTAATACTGATACTGAGGAGAGATATTTGTCTTAACTGCATTTTTTTCATATCTTTAATTCATGATGTCAAATATTTTGAAGTTATCTTGAATGTGAGCACATGTAGATGTGGAGGCCAGGGGACAACCTTGGTGTCATGTGCAGGAATGTCTGTCTCCCTTACTTATTAAGAAAGTATCTCTGACATGGAACTCACTCGTTAGACTACAGAGCTGGCTGGCAAGCTGTAGGAGTCAAGAAGAGCTCTCTGTCCCTCCAAGGCTGGAATTCAAGTGTGCTTTACCATGCTTGGCTTCTTTGTTTCTGTTTTAACATGAGTTAAGCATGAGTAGCAAGTACTTTATCAATAGAACCATTAGAACCATCTTTCCATACCCTTTGACTTTTTTGCTCTCTTGGTTTTGAGAGACAGCATTTCATTATGCACATCTGGCTGCCCTGGAACTCAGACCAGGCTAGCCTTGAAATCAGAAATCAGCCTGCCTCTGCCTCCCGAGTGCTGAGGTTAAAGGTATACAACACTACACCCCACCATACCCTTTGATTTTTAAAGTCTTTTATGCTCAGAAATTTGAAGCCCCTTCCTTTTTCCTATTTAACATTTTCCCAACATACCTTAAAAAGTTGTGAACGGATACAATTTTACGTTTATAACACAGTTTTAAAATCTAACTTTTTTCATTATCTACTTTAAATTCTCAATTCAGCAATCTCTGTATTGACATTTTCATCCAAAATCTCTAAAGAAAAATCTCTGAAATATCAATTATACATGTGACTAAATGACTTTTTTGCAGAATTTCATAAGCATTTGGGTTTATTTTTCAGTTGCCTCACCTATATATATTTTAAAGTTGGGATTAATAACTGGTTCAATGAATTCCCTTTATTTAGGTAAAGCCTACCTTTCTTCATGCATTTTATAAAAGTAAAAAGCAATGCTCCTTTGGTAACATAAACTGCTTTAAAATATAAGTTGTAACATAATTTTAGAATGAGCTGGTTATATCTAGTTCTTGCAGAAGGAACAGTGATCAAATGAATGCTAGTCAGTCATTACAGAGCCATGTCTTCACTGATGTTTGCAGCAATGGTATGTATCAAGTGTTGTGTGGGAGGTTACTTGTTTGTTCCTGGCTGCCTAAAACTGAAATAACCACAAAGAAACCATATTATTTGTAATACTGTTTGACCAATAGTTTAAGCATATTTCTGGCTAACCCATCTCCATTAATCTATGTATCACCACATGACTGTGGCTTACTGGGTAAAATTCTGGCATCTGTCTCCGTCAGGGTTACATGGTTTCTCTTTACTCCACCTCCTTCTCCCAGCATTCAGTTTAGTTTTCCCTGCCTAGCTCTACTCTTTTGCCCTATCACAGGCCAAGACAGTTTTTTTATTAACCAATCGTATTCACAGCATACAGAGGGAAATCCCACATCACTTCCCCTTTTCGATCTAAATAAAAAAGGAAAGTTTTAACTTTAACACAGAAAAATTAATATTACAAAACATGTATCAAGCAAGAATTAGTTACAATATTTATATCTACTTTATCTTTTATCAGAACTAAGGAAAACTATAACCATATATTCTTCAACTCCATCAAAGACTCCAGAAGGATATAATATTACTTAAGTAAACAGTAAATACATTCTAAGCAACTTCCAAAACTCTAGAATTAATGGAGACATTGCTGCCTGGACAATCACCCAAAGTTCTTCTGTACCGCTAGGGCATCCATCTTCAGCCTACAAGCCCATAGTATCAGGCAGACTTTTCTGCAAAGCAGGAAATTTTAAAGATAGTTTCACCTATATTGGCAGTTTGTCAGTCACTTTTTTCTATGTCCTGCAGAATGTCTTGCAGACTCTTTCATGAAGCAGCAACCATCTCAACCTTTAAGTAAGTTAAGCAGTCATTTCCCTGTGGGTTTTTCATATTCAGTTCACACAGCATACCATCAAGCAGTCCAGGCAAGAGCAGTTTCTTGCCCAAATGGCTAACCAACTCCATAAGGAGCCTCTTTGATGGCCATCATCCTCTTGAAATAGACTGGTACGGCCAGAAGCAGATGTGTCTCACTGTCATGAAAAGTCTTAAGTTCTTAAAACATTTAAATACCATATTCTGAAGGTTTCTGAAGGATTTGAAGAATATCTACCTAATTGAAATATATCTCTTACATCTAAAAAAACCTAACATGACTACAAGCTTGACTATTAGATTTTCTATTAAATGAGCTGTATAAACACAATACCTTAATCAAGAGCAGAAATATATATTGACCTTAAATTTGTATCAAAAAAAACCAAGATCCATACCAATGCAAAGTATTCACCTCTATATCATATTTATTTAAACAGAAAAGGGGAGGTGAAGTGGGATTCCCTCTGTATGCTGTGAATACCATTGGTTAATGAATAAGGAAATCTGCCTTGTTCTGTGATAGGATAGAGTCGGGCTAGGCAGGGAAAACTATACTGAATGTTGGAAGAAAGAAGGTGGAGTAAAGAGAAGTCATGTAGCCCCACCGGAGACAGACACAGGAACTTTACCTTGTACGCCACAGTCTTGTGGCAATACACAGATTAATAGAGATGAGTTAAATTAAGATGTGTGAGTTAAATAGGCTTAAGTTATTGGCCAAACAGTATTGCAAATAATATGGTTTTTGTGTGATTATTTCAGGGCTGAACAGCCAGGAATAAACAAGTGGCCTCCTACAACAATATATGACAAACATATAATTAATACATAATTGTAACTTACAGCCCGGATCTCTCTTTAGAAATTGTCTACAATGAAATGACTCTCCCAGGCATTTCTGACATAACCCTGTTACAATCTTCCTTTTGAAAGCCAGGTATAACTTAATCTACAAAGTAATTCTATATTTGGTTTCATCAGCCATTTGCTATACAGTAGAATTTGTAAAAAAAAAAATATAATGTCAGCAGCAAAGTGATCTTCTTAGTGCTAACAACTCTACTGGTAAAAGCTTCTCAAACTAGTCAATCAGATAAATAGGTGGGAAACTTCATTGGCTAGGAACACAAAAGACAGGGTCTACTCTATAGCATCTGATGTTAAATAGTGCCTTAATAGCTTTAGCCATATGTGCTTAGAAATTCTATATAACAATAAATTTATTTATTAAAGAGACAGTCATGGGCTGGAGAGATGGCTCAGGGGTTAGGAGCATTGCCTGCTCTTCCAAAGGTCCTGAGTTCAATTTCCGGCAACCACATGGTGGCTCACAATCATCCATAATAAGGTCTGGTGCCCTCTTCTGGCCTGCAGACATACACACAGACAGAATATTGTATACATAATAAATTAATTAATTAAATTTAAAAAAAGAGAGACAGTCATTTGGTAAATGTTAACTTGTAGTACTTGATCATAAGCGTTCTTTAATTTTGTTGCTTTTAAATGCACTAGTTATGTGACATTACATAATTTTAGCCTCATTGATGCAGATCTTTTCTACTTATAAATATTAATATATTATAAATATACTCACTAATAGAAACTGCAAAACACAGCTCTGTTCAGTTCCATCTAGAGACAAATTTGGACAACTCTCTATTACAATCGTTTCTGGATTTTCCACACTCATTTCTTGTTTAGTTTTACATTTGTCATAAAATTACAGCTTTTAATAGATTAGAATTAATCTAAAACTAAAATCTAGACAATAATCACATAACAAATATTAAATTCTCAAATATACCCTAAAACGATGTGTGAACTGTTAAGTATTATCAAGATTATCTACAAAGAATCAGAAGTATTAATTAAATAGGAAGGTTCTGTAGTATCACAAAGAACATTCCATTAGCATGGAGTCACCAACTATTAGAAATCAATGTCATTTACAAATATAACATCCTAAATATTAAATTTATGAAAGCTTAGAAGTGACAAAATCCCATATGACACAACAATTTAAGGTATTCCTTAAACTGCTTAAATATATTTAGTATACACACAAATATAAAATTAAGATAGAGGTTAAAGAGCTCCTTAACATCAAACAAAGACTAAATGACAAATGATAAGACTGTCAATAAAAGCTGGGTCCAGATGAATGGCAGGAAAGGAAATTGTCCACTTTTGAGTATTAAATATTTTCTGGTCAGAAGATCCAAGTGTTACTTCGGAACATACCTTAGTGTTTTCCAGTTCTGTATAAAATTAGGCCTATAAATATTTCCAAGTTTAGATTTTTAGAAATACACTTGATGTAGCCATAGGAAAATATATGGCTTATATATACTTTGCTACTGTATGTAACGGTAAAAGTACATATTGAGCTGTATGGTGACTGTTTACTGGGGTTAAAGCTTTATTTTCCACTTCACATTTTTGGTGACTGTTTCCCACTGGTGTCATCGACCAAGTCTCTCAGGCGTGATAAGTGTTGTAAGGCCCTTTATTAGAAAAACAAAAAATATATTATAAACCAATAGTGAGAACTGACTAGTCAATGTAGAAAGCAAGAAATAGTGATTATATATTTATTGACTTCAAAATTACTGTAAGAAATGAAGTTACAGAAAAACATAAAACTTTAATAACTGTTTCTTATAAACTCTGACATCTCAACAAATGAGAGCTAAAATAATTTAATGTTCTATAAACATTTTCTTGAAATATCTATGATATTCAATTTTTAGCAAATCTGGCAGAACCTAATAAAAACAGCATCACATGTATCATATTTAATAAAACATTTTTCATATAATTTTCCCAACAACTCCGCAATAAAGTTTTTTCTTTTGTCATGCTATATCATGGAGATATCATCTGGGAGACAAGGCACGTAATTCATTTAATATTTACCATAACGATAGCTTAAATTTTAAAAATATCACTTAATATCAATAAAAAAATCTCAGTAAAACTCATTATTGCTAAGAAGGAATACAAGCAACTTCTTCAGTAAGGCTAAATAATGCAGACACTAACAACCTAGATCTTTTTGAAAAATACACATTAGATAAAAGACTGCATCTTCAGTCAAACTCAAAAGTTACATGTAGAAGAATGGACATCAATCTTTATCTCCTACCCTTCACAAAACAATTCCAAAGACATCAAAGATTTCAACATTAGAGCCAATAACCTGAGTCTGATAGAAGAGAATTAGGAAATATGCTTAAACTTATAGGCACTGGAAGAAACTTTCTGAACAGGAAAATCCAGAAGCACATGCATGAACACTAACAACTGATAAAATGTGCACCTTACGAAACTCTAACACTTCTTTATAGCAAAGGACACCAGCTTTTAAGTAAAGAGGCAGCCTATAGAGGTGGAAAAATATCTGTACCAGCTATATGGCTGACACAAGAGCGTCAGAACATGTGAAGACCTAAAAAAAACCTAAACAAACAAAGAAACCCAATTAGCACTGGACAGACAGCTCGGCAGTTAAAGAGCACCAGCACCCTTGTAGAGATTTGGGGGGAGTCCGTTCCCCAGCACCCATACAGTGGCTCACAACCACCCATAACTCCAGTTCCAGGGAATCCAATGCCTTCTCCTGACTTTCACAAGGGACCAAGCACACATGTGGTACACATATACATATGTAGGCAAAACATTCGTACACATAATGTAAAAACAAAAGTAAATTCAAAAATTAGTTTTAATTGAAGCATGTAATTATAACAGTCCTCAAAAGAAGAAATATAAGCAGCTGATATATATAATTTATAACTTTCCTAACATCCTTAGCCATCAGGGAAACAAAAAAAGTACTTTGAAATTTCATATTACTTTAGTCAGAATGACTAAGATTTTAAAAAAAGACAACAAATGATAGAATGGATGCAGAAAAAGAAACATATGCATTGTTGGTACCAGAGCATATTAGTGCAGCCACTATGGAAATCAATATGCCGGTTCATCAAAGACTGATAAACAGATGTACCATATGACCTAGGTATACCACTAGTAGATATACACTCAGGACTTTATATCCTGCTATAGAGATATCTACTCATCCATGTTCACTGCTGCTCTTTTCACAACAGCCAGGAAATGAAATTAGCCTAAAAGTCTGTTACCTGATGAAACAGATAGTGAACATGTAGTGCATTAGATAACAAAATATTATTCAGCTCTTAAGAAAAATGAAATTCTCAGATAAATGGATGAAGTTGAGAACAATCATCTGAGTGAAGTCACTCAGACCCAGAAAGAAAATTGTCACACGTTCTCTCAGGTAGACAGTAGCTTTGAATCTTCAGAGGTGTTTCAACTGGAGTACCACAGAAGCTGGGAAACTCATACGGAGTCACGGACAGAAGAGATTTTCAAAGGAAAGGAGACGGGACACAGGTGGGGATGAAGAGGGAGTGGGAACTAATAGAGCAAAATGATTAAGTGGGTAGTGGATGGGCAAGCAGGGTGAGGAGGACTGACACCCAAGAGCCTTGAAAAGCTGTAGAAACCTAACATGCAGAAGCTTCCCAAAATAAATACACGGACATAAAGAGCTTCACTGGAATCACCCATTTAGAGTGGGACAATGCCTCTCCTAGACACCACAGGCTATCAAATTAAAAAAAAAATCCCAAAGCCAGATACGAGTTATCTCTTTCAAAAATGTTTGTCCATGAAGTTCTACAGTCTCCCTCAAATATTAGGCTATGGCCACTGTTCTTGGTTACCCTCCAGAAGTCGATGGTAAAATCCTATTGCTAAAAACACCACATACTTGAATCATAGAACGTAAAAGAAATCCAACTAGTCCCAATGTGACAGCTTCATCCCTACTGCTTAGCAGTCATAGTACTGAAAGATACTACACATGTTAAAGAGAAAAATAGTTATCAAAGCGACCTAATTGTGAACCCTATGAGCTAAACTATCAGTCTGACACAATATGCCCCTGACTGTGGCATGAATGTTACAGGAGTAACCAAACACTTCTTGTTAAAGTTCACTAAATTAAGACACGATTCAAGAATTCATGGCTAGATGGCCACGGGCCTAGGGGAACCAAAATTATGTGGTATCACACTGACTCCTAATGACCCATCACTGCACAATCTTCATCAGGGAAGATTCTTTTTGTAGTAGATGGGGATTAACACAGAGGCCCATATCTGACCAACATGCAGAAAATAAGAGAATGCCCAAACCCAAATGGGGCATCTATATCAAACTCATTCCTCCAAATGCTCAGAGATCATCACATTTCATTTCTATAACCAAATGCAAACATAATGAACCTTATTGCCTGATAATAGAAACAACTTGCAGTATTCACTGAATTATTGTTTAGGCCAAAAGGACTAAGAAATTAATATACTGTTACATAAAACATATTATTCTGCGTCAGATGTGTATCCTTTACTCATTTTTGTGTGTGTGTGTGTGTGCGCGTGCATAGCCTTGGCACTTGTGTAGAAATCAGAGCATAATTTATAGGAATCAGTCTGTCTTTCACTACATGGGTTGCAGGAACTGAAATCAGATCACCAGGCTTGGCATAAGTGCTCTTACCCACCAAATCATCTAGCCAGCCTCATATATGTTAAATGATGATGCATTTATGATTAGATAACTCATTTCATGACAAATTATCATTACAGTGTATCTACAACAGTACTGCACATCTCAAATTGCTGCTTTTATTCTAGGATGAAAAGAGAATTTGAAGCCGGGCACACGCCTTTAATCCCAGCACTCGGGAGGCAAAGGCAGGAGGATCTATGTGAGTTCGAGGTCAGCCTGGTCTACAAGAGTTAGTTCCAGGACAGGCTCCAAAGCTACAGAGAAACCCTGTCTCAAAAAAGGAAGGAAGGAAAGAAGGGGAAAAGAAAAAAGAATCTGAGCCAGGCATGTGTGTTATATTTTAAATGAGTGTCTTTTTAGTCCTTAGAATTATTCAAATAGAAAGCCACACACAGGTTAAAGAGAAAGCATGTCCCTAAAAAATAATAGTGAATTCTATGAATAAGGAAGAAGACACTCAGTGTTGACCTCTGGTCTACACACACAAACACACACACACACACACACACACCACATTTTAAAATAATTTTTTTAAAAAGTGTATGTGCTACAAGAAGTTTAGACATGCCTACCATGCATCTGAATTCCACCCTGATTCTTGTCACATGAATGACTAAAATGGATTTGTGTCCATCTTAGTAAAGAATACTTACTTTTGAAGAGACCTAGTAATCGGAAGCATATTTTCCTCCAATTGTAGTTTAGAGAAATCATCCTCTGATACCTATTATTAAAAACCAAAATATTGAAAATATTTTGAATAATTAGCTATAACAAACTATTTTTGGAAAGCAATTAATACTTTCATTTTTCCTTCATTCTAAAGCTACAACTACTTAGATTCATTGTTCAATTCTTCTAAAATATGCTTCTAAACATATGCCCATTAAAGAACCTTATGTTTGCTTGAAATTGCATCTTCACATAAAAGGTTATGTGTCAATGATGTTTAAGAGAGTAAGTGAAGCAGGGGTTACCCTGTACTTTAATGCTGTAATTAGGGTGTCAGGAGGAAAAAATGAATACTGTAATTTAAACAAACAAATTGGGATACTAATCTGAGTCACTTGTCATGTTCAGTGATTGTAATAAAGCTCTGCTGAAGGGCAATAAAACTGATCAGGAAAACAAGCCAGGCACAGGAGAATCAAGCAATGCATAATCTCACTTACATATGGATCTAAAAGGTACAACTGTTAAAGGCCTGGGGTTGGTGGTACAGGCACTTGTGAGTCATCCAACATGGGTGCCAGGAACCAGATGTGAGCCTTCTGGAAGAGCAAGCCTTCTCAGCCACTGAGCAATGTTTCCAGCCACTGGATCACAGTAAATTAGAGGCTGGCTGAGCAACGACAAGTGAGATGCTGATAAGTATATAAAATTACACTCTGGAGGGGTGAGTTCAAGATAGCTACTATATAACTATGGTGGTCATAGCTAATAATGTATAATGGGCTTGAAATTTTCAAAGAGATTTTAAATGCTTTTACCATAAAAAAAATACCTATAGAAGATGATATGCACCAATTGGCTTGATTCAGCTCTTCCATAATCCATATCTACCTTATTATATATGATATGAGAAATATCAAAATTTTGTTTGTCACAAAAAAGAAAATAAAACAGAAAGTAAAGAAGTTAATTGGTTTATATTCATATCCCACTTGCTACTAAGTGGCAGTCAGAATTCACTGCCGGTAGATATGGAAGAATATAAAGTCCATTGTCCTGTATTTTGAAAATTCATCCCCTACAGAACAGTATGAAACAGAAACAAATTTTTCAAAGTTTCCAGGAAATACACAAATTAAAAAAGTGTTGTATTCGAAAGTGTGAATGAACACATAGCAACAAAAATAAATTTGCTTTTCTGAAGTATGAAGGTCCAACACTGAAAATGTTTTTTAGGCTTCACAATCCTGAAAGAAGTTTTTGTGTTTGGAAGAAGTCAGACAGATTAATTCTGCATGATTTTAGAGATGGCATTGACGCCTTTCATACAATAACTGTAGCAGCAGTATCTCTAAATAAGATGCTGGATTTTTGTAATAAAATAAGCAGAAAAAATACTCAGAAGCAAAAAAAGGGAGGACCACTTTAGAAGTCTAATAATACTAGTTGTGGGTAAAACAGTTTCTAAAAACTGCATAATTATAACACAGTTCTCCAGCATGGACCGTGTTAGCATGCTTATGCACACGGAACTAAAGGTAGACCGAAAACAACCTGGTGAAATCCGCTTTAAATGTGAATATGAAATGCTCCTACAGCTCAAGTGTTGGCCCTCAACTGGTAGCACGATTTTGGGAGGTTGTGGAAACTAAGAGCCTGGACTTAACTGCAGGAAGCTAATCAATGGGGCCCGCCTTCAAAGGTTACACTTAGTCTCCAGTCCCTTCCTCACTTTATCCCTTAGCAGGACCATGAGATGCACAGCCATTCCCCAGCCTACTCCCTCACACCACTGCTCCTGCTGCCTTGACGTTCTGCCTCACTGTGGGTCCAGAATCAGTGGAGACAAAGATTATGACCTGAAAGCTCTGAAACTACAAGTCAAAATAAACCATATTTATGTCGTGTATCCTGCCACTTGATAAAAGAAATTAACTAATAGATAAATTTAGATTTTAGATAAAGTCATGCATCTCAATTCATAAGTTCATGCTTACTTGTTTAATCTCTTCTTCTGGCTCCATATTTTTATTCTGATTAAAACTTTCTTGTACTGCTTGAAGGTTAAATAACATTTGTTTCAAGGCTTCAACAGGACCATGATGTTTGCCCCCAGATAGGGTAGAGCTCTAAAGTTAAAGGAGATGATAAAATTAAACTATTCAAGTATAGACGAAAAAATTCAAGTATAGACATTGTTTGTATAATATTCCCCAGCAAAGAATTAAAGCAAAAATACAGACAATGTACTAAAACTGGAGTTTTAAAAAATCAAATCTGTTATACCTGTGGTCTTGCCTAGCACTGGACACTGCATGTCGCAATGCCAACCTTCCAGAAGAGATGTGCTTATTGGTCTAACAGTGCATAACTGCTGCAGGGTAGTGCTGTCTGACTGGATTTGAGGACTGCTGCTTCACAGAAGGATGATGTCTCATCAGCAGTCCATGGCCAGGTGAGTTCACAGGTTGAAGACAGAACTTTACTATTGTTATAATTATCAAGCTGTCTAAATTGCTTTCTTAACATTTATATTTATAACCACAGACATGAGAGCTGTTCTCAGCCTTGGTCAGGGCAGCTTCTTTTTGTAGTAGACAGAAGTCAATGGAGAGACGCAAAACCAGTTCAAATGAGGAGACCACAGAGTGAATTCTCAGCCATGATTCAGTCATCTATATTAGTGGCACATGGCTAAGGGAACACCACAGAAGAGGGAAAGAAAGAGCTGAGGGGCAGGGAGGACTGCTGTGGTGTCCTCTGGAACTCACAACAGCTCTGGTTACGTGGACAAGAGCTACAGAAGACAAACCAGCCAACATCCCAGGTTGACGACAAATGATCACCAGGTCCCATCCTTTGCTGAGGCATGACTAGAGATTGAGAGTTGCTGGGAGAGGATCATTCTTTTTTGAGGATGTGGCCATTAGTAGGTTTCTCTGCTTCTATGGATGATGTCACACCCATCACATATGGGCAGCACTAACTGGATTTAGTGTTATTAAAAAAAACAATAAGAGCAAAAGAAAAGGAAAGTGAAAGAGGGACATGTTGGAGGCACGTGGGGAAACTTCGGAGGTTGAAAATGGGAGCAGATAAGATCATATTTTATTTTATATATATATATATTTCTCAAAGGAAAAAGTGTGTGTGTGTGTGTGTGAGAGAGAGAGAGAGAGAGAGAGAGAGAGAGATGGGGCCTGACTTGCTGACTTGGAGTGTCGTTGACATACCCAGTCACTCCACTGGAAAAGACTGATCAAAGAAAATGTTTTTACAAATCAGTGCTACTAACTCACCCCTCTCCACACCTGGGCTCCAGGGGAAACCACTTAGAAATAGTAACAAGCAGTTTCGCATACTCCTCCTAATCCTTGATACTTTAAAATTAGTATCACACACCAAAAGATCTGGAAAGCTTATTAGTTTCTTGTCTGCTGTGGAATAATCTTTTTGCACACTGTGAAAATATATCTTTGCCAAGGTGCCTTCTAATTAGCTTAATAAAACAAAAATGTCTTCAGAATCCAGGTAAACCAAAATGTTCTTTTAAAATGTCTAAAAATAATTAGTTATCAACTGAGTGAGGCCTAGATTTCAAATCAATTTTCCTCAGCACACTTTCAAGTATGTTTTCACTTGTCAGGATAAGGGAAAGAGGAAGCCTTACTCACTGGCTTGTGAAAATGTACAATTTCTGCAGTCACTATGTAAATGGAATGATTAGTCTTCAAAAACTAAGAAAAGAACGACCATATAAACCAGCTACTACTCTTGGTTACAAACCCAAAGAACTACATCAACATGCCCGAGAAACTTGCACATCCATGTGGACTTCTGCACTACTCATAACGGCCAGGAAATGGAACCAACTTTGATGTCCAGCAACAGATGATGTATAAAGAAATTGTGGTACATAAACACAATAAAGTCTATGCAGGCAAAACAAAACATCAAATTACATTTACTAGCAAATGAATGAAACTGGAAATCATGTAAAATAAGACAAGCTAAATTCAGAAACACTACCTTTCTTTCCTCTTATATAGACATGAGATTTAAAACTAGATTTTCAATTACATATGTGAGTATACATGTGTGTACATGCATGTGTATATGGTTTCATATAGAGATGCTGTTTTTTCACCTCTTTAAGACCTAATAAGCAAACGTGCTAACATTCCATGTATTCAGTACTTAACTATACAGGGTGGTTGATTCTTTGAGGATAGTCTATAAGAATATTCAGTTTACTCATCTATTTGGGAATTTATACCTTATGCTGGCCTGGAACTCACAACCCTACTTCCACCTTCTGCGTGCTGTTGGCTCATGACATTTCTTAGGAGCTTCCTAAAGCGGCTACTTCACAGTTAGAGGAAACAAGATATTCCTTCTATCAGGAGGTGGGGGAGAAGAATAGTTAGTGCTAAGCACTAACTAAGAAGAAGTTAGTGCTTAAATGGCAATGAGATCTAGTTTGGGAAGATGAAAAGGTTCTGGACACACTTGTTGGTGAAAGCTGTAATAAAATCAAGGTACTAAAACGTCACTGAACTATATACGTAAAAGTAACATAGCCCATTTTATGTCATGTATGCTTTACTACAAAGCAGTGTAAGATTCAGTTAGGCTGAAAATCAGTACTTATCATTTAATAATCTGAGATGTACCAATGAAATCTAATAGTGAATGTCTCTGAGGACATCATTGTTGTTCCTCTGATTCAGTAATGTTTCAAACATTCATAAAGCTATGTAAACATCTTCTAAGTAACAGACTGAAAATATAGCCTCTGAGTGAGCTGGTTACAGAGCAGTCAGAACAAGAAAACAAACAAACAAACAAAAAAACGACTCTATCCCAAAGAGAACAAAGACTGGCCTATAGAAATTGCGGAAATAAGACAGGACAGCCAAGCAGTGCAAAGAAGCAGAAAGGGAACTCAACTCAGTGGAAAGAAGTAAGCCAAAACCTAAGAGCTCTCTGGTAAAGAGTGGGAAACAGAAGCCTTATCAGCAGGTGAGGCGGTCCTAGTGAACATGGACAAGCAGTCTCACCCTGAAGATAAGATCACAGCCCTCTCACGCTTCAGAAATGGCTGAAGCTTTTGTTACCTTCTGTTGTAACTTCTCCTACAGGACAGTAAGCCAGGGAGAGCCCTGCTACACTGCCACACTGGCATCTCGGCAAGACACTCAGGGCACGAGTCTCATTTATTTTTCCCCTGTGATAGACACCATGACCAAGACAATTTATGAAAGAAAACAATTGTCTGGGCCTACAGTTTCAGAGGGTTAGAACGTATGCTGAGAACTCACATCTTGATTTACAAGTAGGAGAAAGAGGAAACACACTGGAAATGGCAGAAGCCTCTCGAAACCTCAAAGCCTAAGCCCAAGAGTGGAAATGCCATACTTCCTCAACAAGTCCACACCTCCTATTCCTTCCCAAACAGTTCCACCAACTGAGGACCAAGTATTCAAAAATATGGAAATATAGGGGACATTATCACTCAAACTACCACAGTACCTATGTGTTTAAATTAGGATACCTGGGAGCCTGACAACTGGGAATCTAAATTCAATTTGGTGCTGAAATAGATGCTGGGAGAATTTTATTGACAATAAGAGGCCCTGATGTTGATAAACCAAACAGACAGACAGACAGACAGACAGAAGACAGATGAGAGAGAGAGAGAGAGAGAGAAAATAGACAGACAGATAAGGTAGATAGGTAGGTAGGTGGGTGGGTGGGTGGGTGGATGGACGGACGGACGGACGGACGGACGGACGGACAGACAGACAGACAGACAGATGATAGACAGACAGATAGATAAAATGCAGACATCAGTTGGTTCAGCCCAGGTAGTAAATGGTACAGGGAGAAGGAGACCACCTTATGTAGTTTTATCAACTGAGGAAAACAATGGAGTTGGATAGTCCAGAATCTGAGGTCTGAAGCAATGAGATTCATTGTAGAGTCCATGAACTCTGAAGCTCCAACAAACTAATATCCAGTCTTATACCAATAACAGAATGGTTAATGTTTAAGAGTTTAGAAAGGCATCAGCCTACACAAACTCAGTGTAGAAGCTGCTTTCTGTCTGTACTCCAAAAATATTTGCTAGGTTCCTCCAAGCTGAAATATTAGTCACCTTGAAGAAGAACTGGGAGTAGCTGAAGGGTGGGCAAATCTAACACACAGACGGCAGATCTAAGTACAGGCAGCAGAGTTCCAACACAAGGGAGTTACAAGACAACTCTAGTAGACATCCCACCCTTGAACCACACAGCTCAGCACCAGCACCAATCACAGGAAAGACGCTAAGAGCCCAGAAGTTCAGCTGACTCTCTACCCACTGTATCTCTACCCACTATACCCCCATATCTGACCACCAGAAAGCCATTCCAAGCGCAACCTTATTTTCCCTTTTCTTCTTTCCTTTTTCCTTGCAGTATTCTTAGCTATTACTTTTACTTTGTTTCTAATTTTTACTCTCCTCAATATACTAATCTTACTTATGTATTTTTTCAGAGACAGTTTTTGCCTCATTTCCCCTTTATATATTTAGTACTATTTGACTTTATCTTTTTAAAAAAAGCATTTATTATTTTTATTTTTGTTATTCTACCATTACATTTGTCTAATTTTAGTTATGAAGCTCTTCATTACTGGGAAATCGTTTTCATTTTTTTCTTTCATTTTATTATTTCTTTTTAATTTCTTGGTCCTTTCTCCTTCCAAAAGACTCTTCCTTACTTCTCTACTTACTTTTCCTGTCCTTTATTTCACTTTGCTTCTCCCCTTTCCCCTCCCTCATTTTCTGCCTCTACACCTACTCCAAGTAATTTCTGATCTAATAGCACAGTCTATTGAGGCCGTTATCAGTGACATAATAATGGACTTTAGTTGACTTAACCTGTCTTTCTCTATCGTTGATGGGTTACTATTGTTGATGCTACAATGTTATCTCCTCACTACTTAGAGCTACTGGTGAGGGATGGGGAACTTCCTGGAAACTGAAGCATTTCCTCCAGCAGGGCTAAGGAGACTCCTGAGACCCAGAATTAGAAGGGAAGAAAAGGTCACAGCTGTGGAGAAACAGACACCAATGGAAGAGACCAGAGTGTGGCTGGAAGAGCACTGTCTAGGACCTGCCCTAACCTTACACATTCCCCCAACACTTGTCTCTACCAGCCATCCTTTACTAAGTAATGTCATCACCCTAGCAGTTGGTATAAACTATCTGGATTCCTTCAGGACACATCTCAAATCTAGCACTTGCTGGCCCACTCTAACAACTCACTGCCGTTCTGCAGATTGCAATGATCTCCACACAAGTGCTCTACTCCTTCTCTAGGGTCTCACCACATTTTCTACATCCTAAATCTCCTGGCCCTGCAGCCACTTTCTTAGCCATTCTTTCGTTTGTTTCCTCTGATGGAGCTACACTGACTCATCCTGATAGTCCTTGACCATATCGGTCAAAATTATACTTCTAAGTCAAATTCTGTATCACTTCTTAAATGCATACGTGTAAATTTGTATTTGTAAAACATATAAAGTGACTTTGTAAAATAACGCAATAATTTAAATTATTATGGTGGGCATACTATAAGAGAACTGGCTTACAAAGAAAGATAATTTCCTCTAGAACGGTCCCCTTTATGTTTTAGGGGGGAAGGGGGAGACAATGTAATGACAAGTCAAACTGTATGTATAATTTGACTCTAGTTTCTTGTACTTTAGAATATTAAAAATCATGAAAGTGGTCATGGTTTGTGGGTATAATCGGGAGAAATGGATTTGGGAACTTTTTGTTATTGTTTTAAAATACTAAAAAACAGAAATGAGGATGCACAGAGATGAGGATGCACAGAAATGGGGATGCACAGAAATGAGTATGCACAGAGATGAGGATGCACAGAAATGAGGATGCACAGAGATGAGGATGCACAGAAATGAGGATGCACAGAGATGAGGATGCAGAGATGAGTATGCACAGAGATGAGGGTGCACAGAAATGAGGATGCACAGAAATGAGGAGTATGCAGAGATATGAGGATGCAGAGAGATGAGTGTGCACAGAAATGAGGAGTATGCATAAAAACGAGAATGCACAAATTAACCACAGACTTTCTTCCACTATAAGCATTAACTTTACTTACCTGCTTCCCATCACTTAAAACGTCCTCAAGAATCTCACTAATACACTGCATCCTGGAACTTTGCTGAGGACTGTCATCGGCTTTAACAGGGACAGGAGATTTGCTAAACAGGATTTAAAGGATACAAGCAGTAGTTACGCTTCCCAGGTTTAAAAAGCAGGCCTTGTATCACTTGAAATTTTCACTTAAAAACAAGTGAGGCTGCAGAAACAGCGCAGCACCTAACAGCACTTGCTATGGTTGCAGAAGACCCCATTTTTTTCCCAGCACCCACATCTTGGGGCTCGCAACCACTTGGCACTCCAGCTCCAGGAGATTTAACACCCTCTTCCAGCTTCTACAACACTATAATCGCATACAGGAACGCACACACTTAACAATTTGTTCAAATTGTTGTGACCAAAAAAATAAATGTTGTGGATACGATTCATATTATAGTTATGCAATAATTCCTCCATCTTGTCCTTAAACCAGTACCAGAATTCAGTCCTCCTGTATCCCCTTGCTTTGTTTTCCAGCATTACAGACAACACACATATACAGTAAACCACTATTCCTCAACTGACTCTCCCGGCTACGGAACAGCTTCCCATGGACTCTCCAGGCTACAAACAGTTTCAGAAGCCCGTCTGTGACAAGTACCTTTTGTCAAGTAAATACTGAGGGAGAGTCTGGGTTCAATCCCCATGCCATCGGTCCACACAAAAGGTTATTTATCTAATGATAACCAGAAAACTCAAAGACGCGCAGTCTCTACATCAGTGGCTTCCTACTTCCAGACAAGACAAACCCACCTCCAGAACTGCTAAATTTTAAAATCTAAATCCCAAACTGAAAATTCCAATCTGAGTCCCACCTCCTATGACTGTAGGTAATTTGCCTGTTTAATCCTGAGTGTCTACATGTATTGTCTTTATTCCACAGAGGTACTGTAAAATAACTAATTCTCTATGTGCCTCATAGATTTAGTAGCCACTTCCTTCTTGATGTTCTGAGTAGTAAAGTACTCACGGCAAAAGTAAGAATGTTCCCAATTTTAAATTCTCAAATTATCCCATTTTTATATATCACAAAGTTAAATTTCTAACTTAAAAATAAAATATCCAGTAATCTTTTTATAAAATTTGAACATTGCATGCTAATCATTTTCTTAGGAAGAAGCACTTCTTTGTTGACATATCTTACTTACACTTTGCTATACACTTTTTCTCAGTCTAAGTGGTCTTCACTCATCACTCAACAGTATAGTTTTATATATCCTTTGAAGATACAGACCACAGAGAGGCCCACTACACAATCCTATTTTTATATTTAAAATTTTTACAACAAAATTGTTTAAAGTACAATTAGCCGATTTTGACTATATTCTACCTTTTACTTTGTGTTGGGGGCCTGTGGGCGTGTGTGTACATGGGTGTGCATGGTGTGGGTGTGTGGACATATCTGGGCCAAGATCAATCTCTATGCCTTCTGCTATTACTATCTTATTTTTCAAGATCTCTCACTGAACCACGATTTTCCAGTTCAGCCAGAGACCATCTTGTCTGCCCCAAACCCTGGGATTCCAAGTGCACACCAGCAGACCCAGCTTCTTACACAGGTGCTGAAGATCCACACCCAGGTCCTGCGCAAGCACTTTACCAACTGACCCATTTCTCTGGCATCTATGTTCTGCTTTTTAGAACACTAACTGTATTGCTTCCTATTTCATTCTGTTTCATCCTGGAATACTTTACCAGTCTTCAACTGAGATCTATTTATTCTTCCCAGCAAAATATCTTTTCTTTTTCTATAAGTATACTTGTAGGCTAACTCTCCAAATACGACATGCTAGGTGCAAGTTATTGAGTCAACTCATTGATATGACTTGTACAAAACACAAGTTTTAGAGTCTAAATGCAAAACATATATAGTTGGGGCTGGAGAGATGGCTCAGAGGTTAAGAGCATTGCCTGCTCTTCCAAAGGTCCTGAGTTCAATTCCCAGCAACCACATGGTGGCTCACAACCATCTGTAAGGGGATCTGGTGCCCTCTTCTGGCCTGCGGACATACACACAGAAAGAACATTGTATACATAATAAATAAATAAGTAAATAAATAAATAAATATTTTTTAAAAAGATATATAGTAAATATATTCGAAAAATCTGCTCTTAATCAGCTCTAGTATTTATTTCTGAAAACAAAACATTGTATCTATTCTTTACTAACACAAAGACTGATTAGGAAATAAAAAAATGAAGTTAACATTAAATAAGCTAGTCATCAATTCCTTTTTTAAAAGATATTGCTGAAATTACTTGGGAAATAAAACTAGAAGGAGAAAATAGTTTTATGAGCAACACCCTTGGTCAGAAACTAGCCTCAGTACTTCTATTTTCAAATCAACTGAATCTATCCACAACCCTACGTAACTATCATTTCCCCATCTTCAAAATGATATCAGAGCTTACACTGGTATCAAAGAAGAAAAGTAAGAGGTGAGAAGGATGAGAGTCAACAATGGCATCCCAAGGCGAAGTATTCAACTCAGAAACAATGGAGGAGAACCCACTTGGCAGGCTGACAGGGGAGGATTGAGACTTGAAGGCCAGTTTAGACTACTGTCTCCAAAAAGGAAAAAGGATCCAGGGGTTCCACAAGAAAATCAACTACTAGAGCCTAAAAGGCAGACCAGATACAGCTTAGCAAAACTGTGTTTCTGAGATCTCAGACGGGGTAAATACACTAAGGAATGAACGTCCTCACAGAAGGAAGCGCTGATCAACACCATGCCCATCTTAGGTGTGGAGGCGCCTTGCAAGTTATTCCAAAAAAGAGTAACATAGGAAAAGAACCCTAGAACTACAACAGACCATCTCTAAAAATGTATTGTCATCTCAGGAAGGCAATGACTTAAAAGAGAAAATTAATATGTAAACAAGCAATGAGTAACAAGTGTCAGGAAGACATACCATTTAAAAAACGTAAGAACTCAATAACGCTACTCCAAATGTAAAATAAATTTTGTCAAGTTCCATTATATATAGGCACACAGTTATGAACACATATATGTTATATATATATATATATATATTAGTTACATGTTTTATATATATACAATCGACACCAAAACAAAATGAACATATACAGCATGTATTTTACATAAGTATATGAAACACTATACCATCTTATGCTAACAAATGAAAAGTACAACTTAAGCAATACGAAAGTTAGAGCATACCACTGTTAATTATTAAGTCACACGGAAAGCAAACCTGACGCTGCCCTAGCACTTTTCCACTGGGCACACTGACGTCACTTACTTACAAAGTAACAGGGACATTTTCCCATGATCGTTCTGCTTCAAGTTTATCTAAGGAGCAAGGGCTGTCATCCTTCACCACAGGCTTTGGCAGGTCGTCAGGAGGCTGCCTGAGAGTCTTCTTAGCCTTCAGGATAAGCAATTCGATTTTGTCACCTAGTTTTAAAAACACTCTTTAAGAAAAAAAAAATTGAAGTCTCAGAAAACACTGAACAGGAAGTAGAATATTTGGAATGTGCACAACTACGACAGCAAATGAGGACAAAGTGTGATACTTTAAACAAAGAAAACAGAGAACGTCTGAAGCTTTAACGTGCTAATTGTTCACATTATAAAAATACGCTAGTACAACATAAAGCTTCTACAGAATACATTAAATTTTAACATGGCATTTGTTTTAAAATAAAAGACTAAAAACAAAATATTACCACAGAATGGCTTTGGGGATTGTCCTGGGAGAAGTGGATTCTCACACTGACACTGGCTATTTTCAGGATCGTATTTATATTCATTAACTAATCCTTTATTCTCACTGATGGAATCTGTAAAGTTTGGAGGTTGAAAAGAATATTCAAAGCCATCTACTCTATGTGTAGGCGGAGGAGCTCTTTGTGTCTGGTGACTATGCACGGGGGAGTATGCATCTTCATTAAGTAACTTAGAAACCCTCTGAGTATTTCCATCAGGTAACAAGTCTTGACTGTGGAGCCAAATTGGATACTTAAAATCAGGTATACTAGTTACCCCTGAGACATTAAGATCAGATTTCTGGCTCGTGAGCCATCTTGGATAGTTCTTTTCAGGACCATACTTTGAACAGTCCTTGAAAGATGATTCCTTAGGAAAGGATAAAGATGACTCCAAAGCACATTTATTATTTGTAGTCATTGGTTTGGGGGTTCTGGGCCTACCACATTTCTTTCCATTTACATCTGTATATACATCAGAAGTAACTACGTTATCCTTGCTCTTGGGAGTAGAGGCTACATGAAAACTTGGCTTCTTTTTAACGTCCGACAAATCCCGTCTACCAATGTATTTCTTGTTTCTCTTGCTTGGTCGGTGACCAGGGACAACACAAGTGAAGGAAAAAGAGCCGTCCGCTGGCAGTCTTAACAAATCATCAGTTGTAAGGCTGACGGTGTCCATATCAGTGATCGTCTCCCTTCTATAGGCCAAGGAGTTTAAGTGCTGCTTGTGATCAAGGTTTTCAAAAGCTGAAAAACAAAGGATAATTCTACTTATTTTCTTTATCATATGCAACACTTAACAGGAAATGAGAATTAAAAATTTAGGAATCTTTTTGGCGTTTTCCCTTTATTACTAATTTTGAATAGAAATAGTACACATAAACATATAACCTGGTAAACATCAAACGTGCTTTTTCAGACCTCTTCAGTATTTAATTCCCATGTGTATCACCAATCAGCTGAATTTGTGTGTGTTCTCTAACTTACTGTTTCTTCAACTTTTTCAATGCAGACATTCCTTTTAATTAATACAATCACTAAGGGCTGATTACCGAAAACTGACTACCACATAGGGAGAAGTGTGCTACTAAACCAGGTAGAAACACAATTTGCTTTCTGTCCTGGTCACCTTGCAATGGCATAGCCACACAGAGAATGCTGTTCTAGGTCTCTTCTAGAATACATCACCCACATCCTTCCCACTCTGTGCTTTTCTGGAAGTGTTCAGTACAGTGTTTATCAACATCTCATTTTTCCAATATGTCTTCATGAAAGCTTTTGAGGACAAACTGAGTATATTGTGACTACTGATCCACAGAACAAAGACAATAAAAAAATAATATTCCTATCTGACCAGATAAAACTGAGCAAATATAAACTCAGAATGACTGGGATGATTTAGACATTAGCTTGTTAAGACAATAACAATATTCTTTCCATCATGCCACAGAAAAATGACTTACGAGTTTGCTATGAGCCATTTACTATTGGTAATTATATTTACTGTTGCCCTCTCCAAGGTCAAAAGATCTTAGGAAAAAACTCCTGGCAAAATCACAAAAAAAAAAAAAAAACCAACTTTATAAGGCACATTTCTAATATGCTAATCACTGGACATGAAAGAATGCAAGAAAGCCTAAGAATACAGCGTACCGTCAGTCGGTTGATGCACATAGCTGGAAAACCGCGGCATGTTACCAGACGTTCCATCAGTCTTTGCTCTGCCAGGGTTCGCTGCAGGATATTCTCTGCGTAGATCAAAATCATCAATGTAGGCCTGTAACGCCTCAGAAGCCGAACTGTACAATCTGTCCTTATACCGAAAGGAGCCACCAGAGTTGGGGGAGCTACTGCCGCTCAGGCTGCAGCTTGCCAGGAGAGAGGAAACTGAAGACTCCCGAGAACAACGTCTGTGTTTGGGGGTTGATTTTGCCATGGTTTTCTCAAAATGAGTTATTTGTTTCCATTAAATACTGCAATACAAAAACAAAATGTTACAGTGCCAATGAATTATGACTATAAGCAATAAAAACGATTAAATAAGTAAACATTAATTTGTTCATTAATAAAATTAGTTGTCAACAATAAATGTTCTTATTTAAGCTCTGAATGTTTCCCATTACCTTTTCTATTAGCCATTTCATAAATGATTTAGAAAAAACTGAATACCTACCATGGGCCTGGAAATACATATACAAAAACTATTTCAGCATATACTCAGAATACCAAGGAAAAGATACTCACTTTTTAAAAGTCCTAAAAGCTGCTAATGAACAGTCCTTTTTCATTTGGTGGTACTTTCTATGACATCACAATTCCTAGCATTCGCCAACAGACAGTATTTTGTAAGACTTATAAGCCTACTGCCTCCATTACAGGCAGCAGGTAGTCAATTTTTAAGCCATCAAATAAAGCATTAGAAACAAGGAACAGGAAAGACAAGCAACAATATAAAACTTTAGCCAACTCTCTCCCCCCAAAAAGTAGCTAGAGAGAACAAAATACTTAACAAATTTAATTGACAAATCTTATTTTAGAATGAGCTAGCTATAAACCTTTTTAAAAATAAGAATCTCCTCTTGACCTTCATATCCTCAGTACTTTTAATTCTTTTAAATCTTATTTTGTGTACAGGTTTTGTGCCCACATGTATGTCTGTGTACATGTGTGCCTGTTGCAAAGGAAATCCAGAAAGGGCTGCAGATCCCCTGGAACTACAGTCACAGATATCTGTGAGCCAACATGTGGGTGCCAGGAATCGAACCTGGGTCCTCTGGAAGAGTAGCCAGTGCTCTTAACCAGTGTGTTTCTCCAGCTCCTGTATTTACAATTCTGAAATAGATGCAGTTCCCCTTTCTTAAGCAAGTTTAACTGATTTGGAAATACACTTAATGTATTCAGCTTTGTTTTTCCAGTAAAATTGAGAGAACTCTTTAAACAAAAACAGAACAGACAGGTATTAACTCCGAGTACAATAGTCACTAAGAACTGAACAGAACAGAGAGGTATTAACTCCGAGTAACAATAGTCACTGAGAACTGAAGTGTTCTCTATACTAAGAATTTACACACAGGACTCGTGCTATGATGCTGCAAGGTCAATGCATTTAATTCTGGCGATAATTCTGGAAATATTTTGTTTAGTGTAATACTAGCAATGACAAATTGGACTTTAAAACGTAACAACTTTTCTAATTAAATAAAAGTCGGAGGGCTGCAGTAGCTCCTGCTTGTACTCCTAGCACCAGGGGCTGCGGGAGGAGGTAGCATTGGTTAGCAACAGCAGAATATAACATTCTTGGTTGCTCAACAGCCTGCTGTAGGCTTTTCTTTAAAGAAGTACTCGGCAAGGTCGATTTTATGCGTTCTTTATCTTCTTACGAATCTTTAAATTAGCTCGACTAAATCCGCTTGGGTACCGTTTATGTCTTTTCAGAATACAAATCAGGCTGCCAATTCTACACAAAACCTTAAAAACAAGCAAAATCTTCAAAGGGAAAAGCTGTTGGATTTTTCTCGCTGAGTGACCAAGGGTTAACTCCATTTACATGACACAAAAGGAAACCCGCAATTCGTATGGAAAGTTTTCAAGTCTGTGAAAAAGTAGAATAGTTTAAGAAATCCCTGAGCTTCCAACAATTATCAACATACTTTAACTGTTGATGATACTGTCCCTCCCATTTTAACCACGGGACTGTTTCCAAGCAGACATATTTTAAGTAAACCCCGTCTATCTTACCATTCCCCTTCGCGAGAGCTTCGGTTTGAAATCTCCAAAACGAAACCCATCGTGTCGAACGAGATCAACTCAGGGCAAGAAAAGTCAACTCCCTTGATTCAAAACACAGACGACTGTGCCAAAGGGTGCAAGGGAGCCGATCGCTCTGGGAGTTAAGAACAACGCCCCGGAGACCGCAGCGGCCGAAACTTCTGAAGCCGGCTCAGTCCGCAGAGGGAGCGTCATGGATCGGGCACACGGGGACTCCCGGGTTGGCGGGGTGGCATCAGCGACCCTGTGGACGGCGGTGACACATCCGTGAGCACATTCGCCCTGCAGCCGCCGAGACCTCCGGCCCCCGCCCCGAATCCGCGGCCCGCGCACCCCGAGACGCCCCTCCCTTGGGCGACTCCTCCGCCTCCCTCCGTCCCGCCGGGGAAGGATGCGCGACAGCTCACCAGGACGCTCTTTAAAGCGCCCACTTCCAGACCCTCGGCCGAAAGCCCAGGCCTTCTGCAAACCGGACGCCGCCGCGACAAAGCATCCCTGAGCCGGACGCCGCCCTCCTCGGGACCGCTATCCGCTAGGCGGCCCCGGGCCGGCTCGACGCCCGCGCTTGCATTCAAACCGACCCAACATGGCGCCGGCCCGCCCGCCGGGCGCATGCGTCGCACTGGGCTGGCGGAGGTTGCTTGGGAGAGGTTCGAGAGCCCCGTGGAGAGTTCAGAGGTCAAAGGGCGTTGAGGGGCGTTAGATCGGCGTCCCTCTGGGGAGGTGGGGTTTCTCCCTTGTCTTCTCTCTGAGTTGGATGGGAAGGTTCTAGACAACATCTAGGTCCCATGCCCTCCTCATCCCGGCCACTGCTCTTCTTCCTGGGCTGTGGGAGGGATCTGGGCTATAGGAGATGTGGAGGCGCCCTAAGATGCGGGTCTCTTTTCTGAGACTCAGATCCTCTGCCCAAGTCTTTACAGTGAGCTTTGTGCGACTTCAGCGCATCTCTCTCCCAAGATAGGTACCGAGTCAGCCCACCAAGTCCTTCCTCCTTCCTCAGGGATCTGGGACTCTGACCCACCTGGGCTTCCACCTAGATTTAGGACTGGGGGAAGAAGTCAGATGGACCTGTGATGGGATGTAACAAACTCTTTGGGGAACTTGGTCCTCAGGAAAGAATGGCAGTGACCCAAAATGGATTAGGGACCCGGTCTGGCAGTACAGAAAGAGGGAAACAATACAAACGTAAAGATCACTAACTTGTGTGAACCCGTCTGTCAGGCCGGGACAGGATATGAGGTCAGAAGAATCAAGTTGCAACCGAGTGCTCTATCAAAAAAAGATGCTATCTCAACACTAGTCTAAGGTGGTTTTCCACTGACCCTATGGCTGAAGACATCGTTCCTTGACTTCTATCCGAATACATTCTAGTTCATTCAGTGTTACATCATCAGGTAATAGAACTATAATTTGGCTGTGTCCTGCACCTTTGTACCATCTCTGGCCCTCTAAACGTTACCTTCCTGTTTCTCTTAGCAAATGAAATTGTAAGACACCGTAAAATATAGTTCAGAGGTTCATTAAAAACACATCTATTGTGCAAATGTGAAATTGTTTTAAAATAATAATACAGCCTATGCAGAAACGTAAAGCTAGTGATAAATGCCAATAATTGTGAAAAGTCTAGACCAATATTAGGTCACTGAGAAGTAAAACCTGTGTTTTATATGCTAGGAAAGCCCATATTGGAGACCAGCCAAATGATGTTTATGCATGGCCTTAGTAAAACCAGATTCTTTAAAAACCTAAATTTCATCTAGGTATCTTTTTAACCTGTCCTTTTCAAAAGTTCTTTTTAAGCAATTGCTTTGAGTTTCTTGTCTTTGGGATGTTGTACATGAACATAATAAAGTAGTCCCACACTACATAATAAAGGGTTTTTTATTTAGGGGGAGACTTACAGATTAACACTCTGCACTAGCAGAGAACAAGAACCAAATCCAGCAGCTGAAAGAAAGAGCAAGTGACTACACAAGCTTTTGATCTGCATTTATAGTACAGGAGACCATGCCCAAGTGGGCTGGTATCTTAAAGGCTATTGGCTTAAGGAGCTCCCCCAGCAGGATGTAGCTCAGTGGTAGAACACTTTCTTAAGGTGATAGGTTCAATCTTCACACTGAAGGGGGAAAGAAAAAGATTACTTTTCAAACAACTTGATAGTGGTTTGAATTAGAATGGCCCATATGCTCAGCTGTTTGAATTCTTGGTCTCCAGATGGTAGACTATTTGGGAAATATTAGGGGGTGTGGCCTTGGTGGAAGAGGTGTGTCACTGGGGAGTGGATTTTGAGACTTCAAAAGCCTTGTGCCATTTTCAGCGTGTGTGTGTGTGTGTGTGTGTGTGTGTGTGTGTGTGTCTGCCTCCCACTTGACAATAAAGATGTGAGCTCTCAGCTGTTCTCGCTACCACGCCTTTGCTCTGTTGTGATGTACTCGAATCCTCTGAGACCATGAACTCCAAGCTAAAGCTTTCTCTTATAAGTAACCTTGGCCAGGGTGTGTTCTCACAGCGTTAGAGAAGGAAGACCTATCACTTCCACTGAGGACTATGTTTTTAATCAAGATATAAAGTGCTAATGAAGGACTTTATGGACTTGCAGCAGAGTTTATGAAATATGTTGACCTAAGTCGTGCATCATAATAAGTCGACCTCCCCCTTATCCCCTTGCAGGCTAACAAATATGGAGATCTCCACCAGGACTTGGAGAATAATTTCAATGGGCACTAAAGTTCTGGACTAGAATTGTTCAGAAAGGTAAAGAAACCAAGAGAATAAAATGGTTCTTCTAGTATAAAAAATATCCCCCTCGTGATTCTACCTTTCTAGGAAACTAAGCAAGAGAATACAGAACTGTTCTCTGTGTTAGGCGAGAGCTAAGGATCTTGTCAATGTAGTGATACTTGCGTGCGAAGGTGTATCAGTGTGCTAAAGAGCCAGTTATCTAAGGAACATTTTAGTGACAGCTGTAACCATTCATTATAAGAAACTAACCTGATTTGAGCACCGTGAGCAAAACCCCTCACTGCTTCAAGCACGCCTGCATAGAATAACTCTCTTAGCTTTTATGGGTCCCATGAGTATTAGTATCTTTTTTCTATAAATGTAGGAAATTGAAATGCGAAGCCTAAGCATTTTACCAGCTTCTGTGTCAGAGTTGGGCTTTCAACCCAGATATGTTGCTGTGTTCTCGGTAACATCTCTCTGGCTTCCCCAACTGAAAACTGGTTGGTGGGCTGAAGGACCAATGACATCCCAGTCACCTGAAGGTGTTCAGGGCAGACACTGTGTCTTAATTGTTTTTTTGCTGTGCTTGCTGCTGTACTTAGTTCCTTTGAGGGAACACTACCTATTACCATAGGCTAGGTGGTTTATGAATAGCAAACATTGGTTTCTCACGGTCGTAGAGGCTATTCATCTGACCAGAGTGCCCTCATATTTGGTTTCTGGTCAGAGCACTCTTCTGGAATACAGATTACCACTTCATGGCTGTGTCCTCAGGGCAGAGGGGGCAAATGCGCTGTCTGAAGTCACTTAGAAAGACACACTGATCTTATCTATTCAGTCCCTGCTCTCCTGACCTAATCACTACCCAATTTCAGTCTGGGGATGTAGCGAAATGAAAACAGTCATTTGCAGTACTTACCAGCAAGGAGAGATTTATTAAATGTGTTTAAACTGAATTGCTTTGAATATGATCTTGTCTGGATAGTTGACATTTAAGCAAAGGGTTCAATGAAGCATAATCTCTCATGAATTACACAAGGAGAGAGAACAGTAAATGCAAAGGACCTTGAGAAAGGAAGTTTCTTGGTTGTACTTGAGGAATATCCTGGAGATGGTAACTAAGTAAGTGGATAAAAAGATAGCTGATTGGTGTATGCATGAAGCAGAAATCATATATGACCCCTGCCACTCACTTTAACAATGCTAATACCACAAACATATGATGAGCAGAGTGTGACACATCATAAGGAAAAAAGGAAGCTGTTTTTTAAGATTTATTTATTTATTGTGTATACAGAGTTCTGCCAGCATGTGTGCCTGCAGGCCAGAAGAGGGCACCAGATCTCATTACAAATGGTTGTGGCTGGGAATTGAACTCAGGACCTCTGGAAGAGCAGCCAGTGCTCTTAACCTCTGAGTCATCTCTCCAGCCCCCAAAAGAAGCTTTTTCGAAATAATGGTTTATTGAACGACTGTAACATGTTATGCTCTGGGCATTTAACACATTTATGACTTTAATACAATGGCTCTACAGGATGTTACATCTATGCTAATTTCACATCAAGAAGGAAACGGGAATGTAGAAATATTATATATCATACTTCACACAGGACAGAGATGGATCTCACCCGGGTCCCTGATTCCAAAGTCTGGTTTTTTACACAATAGCACATTTTCTCATTTAAAGAAAGGTTTGTGAATGCAAGTGATCAAGTAAATTGTGCATGGCTAAAAGACAGATGCAGTTTAAGAAATAGTATTAAAGTGTAAACGAGCACAGTAGTTGAGAGACAGGGACAGAAGAGCAGCTTCATTCTGTGAGTTCAAAAGTGTCTGTACCACAGCATTTTTCTTGTTTATATGATTATATTTTACCGACTATTTGTTTTTAAATTTCCACAGGTAGATGGACTTTAAGGCAATTGCCCAAAACTCTGCTGAAGAGGTTTTAGCTTACAATCAAGATATATCTGACTGGAAAGTGGTTAAATCTTCAGTAAGAGAAAAGTATTTTTCAAGAGTTTATTTTTTTAAATGATTGTTTATCGTAAAGACATTTTAAAATAATGTTTTTTTGTAAGCCAGAAAAACATAATTTCACTTTTGGTTTGTTTTTGATTTGTTTTGTTTTCGGTTTGTTTTGCTTTCTGTATGTGACAGTTAATTTATTTCTGGATTTTATTCCCCTTTGAGAAAAAGGTAACTGTTTCCAGCAAGACCTCTAGAAAGTTCCTCGGAAATCTGTGAGTACATTTTCCAATTTGCAGTTTTCAATTCAGTGGCATTGCCAAATCCGAAAGTCAACACCACTTCGTTAACTAGAACAAACTACTTTCTAGTCTCCGGGAAGTGATGCATGAAGTCATGTGATTCTCATAAAATCGAGCGGTCATGTGTTGTGCAACAATTTTCCGACATGAACACAGTCACAGAGCAAATCCTTGCTGGGCAGTGTTGAGTCCTTCACCCACGTGCACAAGGCCCTGAGATCCATCCCTGATGCCAGAAAACTCCTAATTCATCAGGACGGAAATGTCGTGCAAAAGCGCATTGACATTTCTTGCCAGCAGAAGCACTTTTATGATATTTGGAACCCTTCACTTTTCACTCAAATCCCTAAAAAAAAAGAGAAAAAAATCCCCATCAATTTTTTTTCTCAGTCTTAAGTACAGATTGTTTTTCTATAGAGTGCCTTGAAAACATGTTTTTGAGATTCAGACGGCTTCAAACACAAGTGCACGCAAAGTGAATGTCGTGTCTTTTTTTAGGTGTTCATTTAGAGTTCTTGGCATAACACCTGTTCCCTTAGATCACTGTGCTATTGAGAAAACCATGACCAAATTTTTAGAAAACATTTCTTTGAAAACTATACTTATACCTCTGGCTGTCAGTGTGATTTTTGTGACGTTGGTAGTGGTGCTGGTTTTTGTTTGTTTTTGCAAAACAGGTCTCACCAACTCAGCTTTGCCTGCTTCAGCCTCCTGCATGCCATTTTTTATTAATAGAGAAGGATGGCATGAATTTCTCTTATTTACGTTAGATGACCTTAGTAGTAGAACTTCCTTCCTTTCTTCCTTTCTTTCTTTCTTTCTTTCTTTCTTTCTTCCTTTTAGAATTTTCAAAAGTAAACTGAGAGTGGGAGAGGGGGAGGTGTACTCAAGCCTAGGCATACCGGGGAAGTAAAACCTATTTTAAAGGTCAGCCTGATGCAATATAGCATCCCTTAGGAAAAGACTCTAAATAAGGATTTTCTAGAATGGTTGGTCTGTGGTATATCTGGGGCAGGGGTTGTCATGATTAATTGTCATACAAAGACCTAGACTACTGTGGGTAGCAGCATTCCTTTAGCCTGCTTTTGTCATGGAAATGTCTTCATTCACCCTCGATTATGATATACTCAGATAGTTTGGCTGGGTATATTACACTAGGTTGACAATTGGGACCTTTTAGAGTCTGAAAGACATCAGCCCCATCTCTTCTGAGTTTGGACTGAAAAGCTAGTGTTGTTCTGGTGGCCTGCCATTGTATGTGACTTGGCCTTTCTCTGTCACAACTTTTGATATACTTGCTTTATTCTGTAAATTTAGTGATAATGATTTAGGGAGTTCCTTTCCTGGTTCAGTCTATTTGGTGTTCCGTGTGCCTCTTGTGTTTGGATAGCCTTCTCTTTTCCTATTTGCAATATTTTCTGCTAGAAGTTAACCCACTATGAAAATAGACTAGCAAAGCAACCCTTGCTAAATACTGATTAATTTGAGGAGTCAAGATACCCTGGTAGTATTGCATATGCTAATATTTTAGTACAAACAGAAAGGGGGGCAATCCATCCCGACACTAGAGATAGGTCCTAGGTTGTTAGGTGGGAAGTTGGGGAGAGGACCGCACATAGGAGTGGGAATGATTGCAGAAAAGGAAAAACGGCGTAGGGAATGTGTACCCAGATACCATAAACCAGGCCAGCCTCTGGACTTCAGGAGGAGTAACAATAGGAAGAGAGAGTACAGAAAAAGAGCAAGGAACCTAAAGGGGGAAAGGAGGGGATAGTACAAGTTCAAACAGTAGGTGGCAGTATTGTCCTGTTTGTAGGCATCCTGAACTGCAGCTAAGAAATAACCCTAGCAGGGAAGTGGGGATGGGTGGAGTTGTAGGATTTGAAAGCACTGGCTGAAGACTAGCTTGTTCTCACAGGGTTGGGAGCATCTGGAGGCTGCATGGTGCCCAAAACATTGCTCAGTTCCGTAACTCACCTTCGTAGTGCAGTTGTTTCTTCTCGTGAAAGATGTCTGCTCAGTTTGTCGGCCTTGTTGATAGGCAGGGAAGGTTTGGGTGTTTAATTGTTGCGGTAGCTGTTTCAAGGTGTGCCGCTGCTCTGGCTACTTACTGTGCTGCCCGGCTTCTATTCTAAAGTTTATTTCCTAGACCTGCATCCTGAAATGTTTCCTTTTCTGGTTTCAGAGTTTCAGACCTTCCATTAAGGTTTAAAAAACCTTTATCTAATTTGAATTGATTTTTGTGCAAGGTGAAAGATACAGACCCAATTTCATCGTCTGCTGGCTAATATTCTGCTTCCCCAGCAGCATTTATTTCAAAGGCTATCTTTTTTTCAGGTGTATACTTTGATTAATCTTATTAATTTGAATTGCATTACTCCTTTGGTCAATTTGGCTAAGAGTTGGTCAATTTTATTCTTTCCCAACAAGCACCTCAGCTGCTGAATTTTCTGTGATTTTCTTTGGAGCAGTGGCCCTGGATTGCTGAGCCATTCTCTTTTGCTGGTGACTTTCTCCTGCAGTTGGTGTTCCCATGGTGCCTGGGTCAGATCCCTGTCTGCCGTGGACTGTAGTAGGAGAGGAGGGTTGTGAGCATTGATTGTCAGTTGCAGATTCGTGCCCCTCCTTTGTCTCTTCCTGAGATAGGTCTGCCTGATCTGGCTTCCCAGCCAGCTGCAGCGCTGCTGAATGCTGGTTCCTTACAGCGCTTTCCTCTGCGGTCACAAACACAAGCTGGCTTACTAGTTCTGTTTTCAGTAGGAAGGTGTTCTAAAATGGGCGAGAGAAGGGTCATTGGTGTCATGTTGGATCCATGTCGAAGCCCTGTGTAACCAAACACACAGAGATGTGGATAGTTGGCTTTTATTAGCTCTTGCGGTTAACCCTGCTGCAGCCTCCACCTCTCAGTGGATTATGTGATTGGCTCCTGGTCTCTGTTCCTGAACATCCCATTGTCCACCCGGAGCCTAAGCCAAGTCTTAAAATATAATTTGGATTTTGAGACTCACCTTTATAAAACCCTTTAAAGGATTGCTTTCCTGGCTAAAATGAGATCCAAACATTTTGTCCTGACCTCCAAGTCACTCCTGGGCCATCATTTCCTGTCACTTCATCCTCTTCCTCCCTGTATTACATCCTCAGATACGCTGCACTGGACTCACAAAGCCTTCATGGTTCTTTTGCGTGGCACCCTTTCTCCCCATATCTCTCCAAAGCTAATGTCAGCTTTGATCGGCAGGTTTTTGGTTCTCATCTTCAGAACGACCTTCCTGCCCACTAGGCCAAATGTCCCACATGTACACAGTCCCTCTTTAACTAATTATTCTGCTATTGTAACCTACATAGGTGGCACTATATGGAAATTTTTTTTACCTCATCCTGTATGTCTTATTAAAATATGAGGTGGTGTGAACAGGAACTTGAATAAGAATGTGCCTAGAAATAAGCCATCCTTATTTTTTGTGGTATTCCCTATACCAGGACACTGCCTGCCACAAAGACTTATGTTATATTTATTTAATCAATCTATGTGCTTTAGTTATATTGATTACCAAATAGAAAGTTAAATATAAGCACATTATTAAAGTAATTTAGTCCCATGGTGGTGGTGCATGTCTTTATTCCCAGCACTCAGGAGGCAGAGGCAGGCAGATCTCTGTGAGTTCAAGGGCAAACTGGTCTACAAAATAAGTTTACAAAATAGGCACCCAGGACTGTTACACAGATAAGCCCTGTCTTGAAAAACAAAACAAAAGGAAACAAAAATAGAGGTAATCTATATATTTTATTAGCATTTGTGCTTTTTGTTAATAATTTACTGCCCCCAAAAGAGCCTTTAGTGGTTAGTTTTGAACATTTGGTTTAAAGCATCAGAAGGCAGGCACATCTTACCCTTTCTGTCCTCAATTATACATTCCTCTAATGCCCTAATGTTATGTTAGGCATTACACCAAATAAAATTTTAGTTTACTCCCCACGTATTCCACAATAAAAACACCATTATCCCCCACCTCCAGGTGAATAAAGGCCTACCCAGGTGACTATCCCCAAGGTACCTACATTGTAACAGTGAAAAGAGAACTTTCAGAAGCCAGGACTTAGCTTCAGAGGTTGCCTGCATTACCTTAATCATCATTCCTTCTGAACCTAAATCTTTCCTGTGCATGTATGGAATAATTGAAGCACATTATCCACAGAAGGCATGTACCGGAGTCTGCCTTTTCTGCTTTAACATTAATGTTTATTTATCATTACCAAAGGAACATGCTGTGTTCTTTTCCTATCAGTTACTTCCATTCTGTTATGGTGATGATCGCTATCAATACCTTATAGTGATGAGCACTATCAATACATCTATGCTGACGGTCGCTATCAGTACATCTATGCTGATGGTCGCTATCAGTACATCTATGCTGATGGTCGCTATCAGTACATCTATACTCATGATCGCTATCAGTACATCTATGTTGATGATTATTATCAATATATTTAATCCTTTCTTAAATCCCTATGGAAGACACCTGAGTTATTTATATATTTTATAACTAACATCAGTCAAATTTAGACGAGTTTAAAAATTGTATAACAACAAAATAATGGCTAAAGTTGCTGTGACCAAAATGAAGAGCCCAAATTTAGCATTTATTATGGTTTATTTCCTAAACCAAATGGCCAAGATGCCACAGTCATTAAGAGCACCAGAGGATCAACATACAGTTTCGAGCACCCACATCAGGTAGCTCACAAATGCCTTTTACTCAGTTCTAAGGAATTCCATGTTCTCTACCTCCATGGACATCTGCATACATATGGTGTACATACACTCATACAGGAACACACACACATTATAAAAATTCTAAAAATTCAATCACATAGTGTTAATAAGATAATTTGAAAAGTAACATTTAAACCCTGTCATCTATATATAACAAGGAAAAGAATCAGTAATGACAACAGTTCAATATCATCTAATAATATTATCATAAATAATTGTAAAACAGACTTCCAAATCTCCCCAAAAGAGCTTTGGCACAGTGTTCCCCTCTACTCTCCATAGTCCCGTGCTTTCTCGTGTCCATACTGACCATGCTTCCCAGTGCGGCCTTGGATGAAAGTCTCGCTGCCCAGCAGGATGCAGTGCAGAAGGGTAGAAAACAGATCCGCAGAAGTGCACTTCAACAGTTTGCACTGGTGACCAGCTACTGCTGGTCATCATCGGTAATTACATTTCCGGAAGACTGCTTTATGAAAGGGCTAACTAGGTGTTGTTAGGTGTAGCTTGTCTCTATCATTAGAGTTTACAGAGAGACTTTAGTTAAGTAAAGGACAACTGTGGTGGCATGTGCAAACTTCTGAACAAAATTTGTGCGTAAATCTTAACTGTCTCGTGTCTGACATTGTTGCATTACATGGTGACTTTTTGGGTTTATTTCTCCCCGGTTTAAAACTGAGTGCTCTTGCTGTCACTTCTCTCTCTCTCTCTCTCTCTCTCTCTCTCTCTCTCTCTCTCTCCCCTCCCCTCGCTCTCTCTCACTCACTCTCTCACTCCCTTTCTCTCAAATAGTAGCCTCTAGAGGGATGGCTCACTGGTTAAGAGCACTGGCTGCTATTCCAGAGGTCCTGAGAGGTCCTGAGTCCAGTTCCTGTGTGCATATGTACATGCAAACGAAACACCCATATACATAAAGTACATAGATAAATAAATCTTTAAAAAAAAAAAACCTTTCTGAAAGGTCAGGCAGTGGTCTTGCACATCTTTAATCCCAGCACTTGGGAAGCACAGACAGGCAGATCTCTGTGAGTTCAAGGCCAGCCTGGTCTACAAAGCAGACAGCCAGAGCTATGCAAAGAAACCCTGACTCGAAAAAACCAAAAAAATAAGATAAAATAAAATAAAGAATAAAAAATAAAAAAATATTTTGACATGGAGGAAGTAAACCTTACATTAAGGAATTTCAGGATATCTCAGAAAGGAAATTGGGAACCAGATAAGCTTTTAAAGAAAAAGTCAAGTATACAAGGACGTCATCTAAAGAATTCCTTGTCTGAACAAATGGTGGAAGCCAGCCAGGTGCAATGGCACATGCATGTAATTGCAGCTCTGGCGTTCGGGAGGCTGAGGCAGCAGGAGCTTAACTTCGAGACTTTCTAACTCCATAAAAGTCAGGGTCCGCAGCTCGGCCGGGCCTCCGTGAATACAAAGCAAAAGTTGAGGGCAGTAATTTTCCACACACGTGACTGCTCTCCTCTCTAGTAATTACATTTTTGTTCTTTTCATGCTCTCTGAATAAATTTTAATTCTTTAGAAACTTAAAGGTTTTACCACGAAACGTCTGTTCTCCTTCTTTGAAAGAAATGAGCGTTAAGGGCGTGGCCATATTACTCTGATTGTACTTTCAGCTGTTGACCTGCTAAAGTGGATTTGAATCCGGCGTTCTCCTACCACCTTAATTTTCCTGATGGATAACAACATCCACAGAATTTAAAAGTCACTGTCTATAAAAATTGATCACTACACAGACACACCAGGGCCTAACCCACGCTGGGAAAGTTCTCTACCACTGAGCTCTATCCCCAAACTCTTTGTACATTTTGAGATAGGGTCTCACAGTTACCCAGTCTGATCTTGAAGTCACCTTGTTTCCTAGACAAAAATGATACATGATGATTCTCCTGCCTGCTCAGCCTCCCAAGTGGCTGAGATGACAGGCCTGCACCATCAGCCGGGCTAGAAAAGTAAACATTGAAATAATTGCTGCAATGCTTCTTTAAATAAACTATGCTAAATCACATTCAATACACTGTATTAAATAAAATTAGTTAAATTATTATATAAAATTCCCTTTAGAATACATAATATAAAGAAGCTAAAGTACAAATGAATTTTCTTCTGAGACAGATCTCATCCCCAAGATATCTCATTATAGATATGCAAATACTCAAAAATAATATAAATACCAATAAATTATATTTATCTATTACATAGAAAATATAATAAATTTAAAAAGGAATCAAAATAACAAACATTTTTGGTCCCAGGTATTTTAGACACCAGATACTCAGTTTCACAATTTCCTTACTGGGTTGCTCTCTTTAATCTCAGTAGCCTTCTATATCCAGATTAAAGTCAATTTTTTTTAATTTTCTTTACTTTGATGACATAGATACCGTATTGAAGGAGTAATTCGAGAGTCAACAGCTAAGGTCTCCAATTTCCTCTACCAACCTGAAAACAGAATTACATGGGATAAATCATTGAAAGGATACAATGTGGTACACAAGATTGATTCGGTAATGTACTGTTTAATAGTAAATAATGTCTACTGTATTACTATATTTTTAACTAGTGTGAATTATTAAATATATGTCTTATAGATTTGAAGTAGCTGTTTTTAATTACAGTGTGGGGGACTGAACCAAGCCACCTGCATGCCAAGCCAACACGGCACCACTGAACACATAGTCCACTACTTCTGTTAAAATTCAGTTTGAGATCAGATCTGACCTACTTGCCCAGGCTGCTCTCAACCTCTATTTTTTGAGTGATGGGATTTTAAGCATGAACCGCTACACCTAGCTGGAATGTTATAAAAGGTTTAAAATAGCTATTTTTATTAGTCAGGAGTTTAATTCCAATTAGCTTTGTTCTGTTTGTAAATAATTATCACATTTCTAATCTGCCAGTCTCTTGTTGATTTGTACTTTTTGGTTATATGGGGATTAAATTTAGCTATTCTCCTCTATTATAAGGAAACGAATTTAAACACGCCTTGTTGATGAGGAGTCAGAATCTATATTGGGTGGAAAGAGAGCGTGGATACACACATGAGTGCAGATGCTCAGAGGCCAGAGGTCTAGAGTCCCCGTGGAGTTGCAGTTACTACTGGCTGTGAGCTGTCTCATGTGGATACTAGACACCAAACCCTAGTCCCCTAAAAGAACAAGATGTGCTGTGATACTCTGAGCCATCTCTCAAGGCATGGGTTTCTGGGTTTGTTGTAGTGTTTTGCTTTCTAAGAAACCCACCTGTTCCCAGTGCCTACACTGCCTGTACTGGCCTGGAACTGGAGATTCGCCTGTTATCAGTAATACAACTCCAAGTGTCCTGGCAGAATTTAATCTATAAATATGACTGTAGAAAACAGGTATAATGTGGATCTTCACCATAGGGACTGATGAAGTAACAGTAGGTACTGTTGAAAATCAAAGACCAGGACTGGTGAGTTAGCATGAAGAACCTATGTTTAAAAAAAGATAAAATAAATTTAAATTTAAGAGAAGGTCAAAGTAATAGCTGTAACCCCTGCACTCCCGTGGGGAGATGAGATGTGAAAGCAGAAGTCTCAGAACTCATGGGCCAGCTAGCTTGTTGTATACAATAACAAACAACAAAGATGTCTTGATTCAATTAAAGTTGTCCTCTACCCTCCACACATGCACTGCTGTAAACACACACACACACACACACACACACAAAAGAAAATCAACACATTTCTGAAAGACTCAAGACAAAGTATAAACTAATGAAGGAACATCTTATGGCAGCACGTATATTAAAACCATTCAGAGAAACTGCTATGACTTCTATGCAAGCATGACATAATACAAACTCATGAAGTGTTCCATATTCTAAAATATGTTCAGATTCCAGTGTACATAGTTAAGCAATGTGAAAAACAAAATAAAATATCTTGTCTGAATATCATCAATCCTACAGTAATAGTCCCAAATGAGAACAACATAAACAAAATATCAAAAAATGGTTTAAATTATATAAAACATTCAAAGAAATGAATAAGGACACAAACACCCAAAACAATTTGAAGACAAGAAATAACTCTCCAATGAATGCCAAGAAAACAAAGCAAACAAGTTAATGTCAATTCAGGATATGGAAACAAAATTCAATAAGGATATAGAAACATTAAAACCTATGAAGCTGTGAAGTGAAAATGAAAACTCAAATTAAAAACACACTAAAAGAAACCTAAGCAATAGAATTGTCATTCAGAAGATAGAATAGGAAAACTTGAGGATAAGGTGGAAAAAAAAATGAATCACTCAGTTAAGAAATGACATTTGAGTGTGAATGGAACATTTGAAATCTCTTTCAAATTATGGACACAGTAGAATTCCATGCCAAAGGCCTAGAAAATATTTTCAATTGATATCATAGAAGAAAAATTTCTAAGTCTAAAAAAAGGGTGGCTATCCAGATAGAAGAGGCTTATGGAACACCAAACAGATCCAGAAAAGAAACACTCCATGTAGTATTGTAGTTAAAGCACTAAAAATACAGAAAAAAGGAGTGTATTCAAAGCAGTGAGAAAGACTGAGTCACACACAAATGTCGTTCTATAAGGATGGCATTTCAGTGGAACCATTAAAGTCCAGAAGAGTAGGTTCTCAAAGACCACAGATGGTAAATCAGATGATGATGCCCAATAAAACTTTCCATCACAACTGAGGGGGAAAGATAAAATTAGTGAGAACAGCCAGGAAGCTATAAGAGCAAACGAAATAGGATTTTACAGTGTTTTATGCTAGGGCAATAGCAATGTGGAGCAAGGGAAATCGAAGGATGGAAGACACAGCCTAGAGATGGAGTCAATAGGACATACTGAAGGAGGAAGAACCAAAATGAGTTCTATCATGTGTGAGAACTAAACATGTTTTAGTAACTATAGAACTATGTGCTTAAAGTGCTTCTTTCTGGCAAGTGAAGCATTCTGGCCTTAAGGGAAGCTTCATTAAGACAGGAAGTAAGCAACTCAAAATAGCTTCAGGAAGTCCCTGAAACTTACCAGGTTATCTAGGCTTCTTCCTCTTCATGAGTATGTGAGTAGTAAAGACTGCTGAGAGTCACTCAGACAAGCCAAGCAGCCAGAAAGAAGCAGAGAACTTTCCAGCTGCCTAGAAGAAGCAGGCCATCTGAGCCACCTGGAATGGCCACTCTCAGACCCTGAACTGCTTGCAGGAAGTGCAGTGAGCTCCAGGTTTCTGACTTTTATGAACTGTTCTACAGTGATATTTTACTTGTATTTTAATAAATAAAGCTTGCCTGAAGATCAGAGAAAAACAGCCGCACTGATCAGTCTTACAGACCAGGCTGTGGTGACTCACACATTTAATCGCAGTAGACACACTAGTTTGCCATAGAAACCAGGTGGTAGTGGCACAAGCTTTTCATCCCAGTGCTAGAGAGGAATGTAGTAAGATGGGAGGAAACAGCTCTCAGACACAGTCTCATTCTAAGGTTTCCAGAAGGCAGGATTGCCATTTCGGACTAAGGTAAGAACCAAGCGGCTGGTTGTTTTGCTTTTCTGACCTTCATGTTGAACCCCAATATCTGTCTCTGGGTTTTTATTAATTGTGCCACAGTGTTCCCCATGCTAGGGTGGGCTTTGTAGTGCAGCTGTCTTTGAGTAAGTAACTTCCCAGTCATATTCCTGTAAGTACCCCTAATAAAATTCATTGGTTCACCAAGTTGGATTTTGGTGTATCTTTACATTGCTCTCTCAAGAACTCCCTTACTAGCATGAGCAGACTTTTCCTCTCTCCCCAGGAAAAGCCCATCATGCAATCCAGGCCAACAGAGAGCAGAAATCACTGGAGGGGATGAGTAGTGATAAGACTCCTTTGAGTGAGCTGGCTGTGGGACTTTGGGGGTGGGGGTCTCATATGCAGGCCCAGAGTTGGAGGGATTTGCAGCTAAGCCATTCTAAATACAGTGTCACCAGTGGTTCCAAACACTGGTCAGTAATTTTAGGTCTTATGCCATAACGTGCCAAATCAATATATGTTTCAGAATATTTACCAACTCCACAGAGGGACAAAATAGTGCTGTACAGAAATCAGAAGACTAGTCGGGTGGTGGTCGTGCATGCCTTTAATCCCAGCACTTGGGAGGCAGAGGCAGGTGAATCTCTGTGAGTTTGAGGCCAGCCTGGTCTACACAGTGAGTTCCAGG